TGGTGAAGGAAATAGACATACAAGTCCAGAAAGCACACAGAGTCCCAAACAAGATGGAACCAAAGAGGACCACATCAAGACATATCATAATTAAAATGCCAGCAGTTAAAGATAAAGAGAGAGCCCTACTGGTGTAGCTCAGTGACTGAACACTGGTCTGTGAACTGAAAGGTTGCTGGTTCAGTCTCCAATCAGGGTGCATGCCTGGGTTGTGGGCCAGGTCCCTAGGTAGGGGGCGTGTGAGAGTCAACCAATTGATGTATCTCTCACATATTGATGTTTCTCTCCCTCAGTCTCCCTCCCTTCCCCTCTCTAAAAGTAAATAAATAAAATCTGTTAAAAAAAAGTTAGAGAGAGAATCTTAAAAGCAGCAAGAGAAAGCAGAGAGTTACCTACAAAGGAGTTCCCATAAGACTCAGATGATTTCTCAAAAGAAACTTTGCAGGCTAGAAGGGACTGTATCTCTTTTGAAGAAGTATTCAAAGTAATGAAAAGCGAGTACCTACAACCTAGATTACTCTATCCAGCAAAGCTATCATTTAAAATGGAAGGGCAGATAAACTGCTTCCCAGACAAGGTAAAGCTAAAGGAGTTCATCATCACCAAGGCATTATTACATGAAATGTTAAATGGAATCTTATAATAAAAAGATCAAAACTATGAACATTAAAACAGCAATAAGTTTACAACTATCAGAATATGAATGGAAAAAACAAAGCAAGCAGAACAGAAAGAGTCATAGATATAGAGATCATTTGGAAGGTTATCGTATCAGTTGGGAGGGGAAAGGGAAAGAATGGGGAAAAAGGTGCAGGGATTAAGAAGTATAAATTGGTAAGTACAGAATAGACAGGGGGATGTGAAGAACAGTATAGGAAATGGAGAAGCCAAAGAACTTACATGCATGACCCATGAATGTGAACTAATGGGGGAGGGGGGTTGCCAGAGGGAATATAGGTACCGAGTGGAGGAGGGCAAAGTGGGAAAATGTAACAGTATAATCAATAAAATATATGTTTTAAAAAGCAATTTCAATGACAAAAGATCAAAGAATAATGAAAATGAAGAAAAAAGTATTAGGTAGAAAGAAAAAGAATAAGAGAAAGCGAAAAGACAGCAAAGTGATTATGGGAGGAGAAAGGGGGAAAGAACTAATTGAACTGAAAGAAGAAAACAGGAAATGGGACAAATAAAGAGAAAGAATAACAAAAATAAGAAAAGGAAAAAAGGGAACAACGGGGTAATCAGTGGTACAAGTAAATAGGAGATATGGAGGAAAACATAGAGCAACAGAAGTAAAAGAAAAAGAAAAACAGACAAAAATAATAAAAAAGCTCTGAAAAAGAAAAAAATAGCAATGAAAAAGAGCAAAGTGGAATCCGTCTCAGCAGAGTTCAGTGCTTGCCTGCTGGATTCTCCCTTTGGATGCGGCTCTGACGTAGTCTGAGACTGGTGTAAGCCAGTGTCAGGTGCCAACCATGTCTAGCTTTCAGCAGCTTGTTTGAGGCTACAAGCGACCCACAGAGTGTGGTTGATTCCTCTGTGCTTTGCTGTGCCTGGGTTGGGCCAAGCTGCTCTGCCCAGCTGGTTTTTATCTGCACTGGGCCCAGGGGGTATGTCTGCAAATGCCCCAGGTTACCATAGGATTCACCTCTGCCTGTCTCTACCTGCCAGCCTATCGTCAGTTTTAGATTAGTCACAGACCCAACTGTTTCTGAGAGGACTTCTCAGAATGGGGGGGAGGGGACTTCTGAAACTCCTGTGACAGGTGCCTTTCAGACTTCAGGGAAGATGGTGGGTTTGTTCCCCTGTCCCCAGCCATGGGGAGGGGAAGTCTGGGATGTTTTCCCTGTACCCAGCAGGGTGGGGCCCCTAGTAGGCTAATGGGTGGAGTCTCCAGAGCCCAGATTTGGGGTCTTCTGGAAAGTGGAGGGTGTGTCTATGGCTCTCCTCTGAGGAGGAGGCGCCAGTCTGTTTCCCAGGGCAGCATATGGTGTGGCTGCACCCTACAGCCTGTCTGTCTCCGACTCTGCAAGTCTACATATGTTGCTGTCTCCTCAGCAGGGGTTAAAATGCAGGAAGGCAAAAAACAAATAAGAAAAGAAACAGACAAAACAGAACTAAGCAAAAAAGAAAAAAGGGAAAAAAAGATGTAGGGTGGGGTGAGCAGGATTCCAGAGGGGGCGGGGGTGGTATTCCACCCAGTAAGGTAATTGCTTTTCCTCTGGGAGGGGCTTCTCAAGAAAGATGGCTGCTGCAAAATCTATATATCTCAGCACATAAAACCCCATGGCTGCTCCCCCATGGCTCTCCCCAGTGTCTCCCACTCCAGACTCTCCTCACATGACTCCAGTCTGTGCTGCCCTCACTTTGCTTGTACCCCAGGTGAGTGATTATGAACACAAAACCTGTGCTTTGGCCCCTTTAAGAATTAAGAAAGAAGAAAAAAATAGTGCCTTTGTCTCCAGTGGATCCCGTGTCTTCTCAGCAGTGATGAACCCCGTGGCCTTTCACCACTGGGTGCTCTATGGCTGCTGATCCTGGCACTGGAGCTCTGTGCTTGGGAGCCCAGTCTGTGTTCCCTGCTTCTCTCCATTCAAGGGGAAGCTCCCACAGCTGCGCCGCCTAGGTCAGCCTCCCTCGTAAACAGTCCAGCCCCTCTGACAACCTCACCCTTCTTACAGGTCATGGTGTTCTTGCTTGCCCCCCCGCCCCCACATTGGTTAAAAGTATCTTTTTTGAGTAGTCTTTGGTTTATTTTGGGTGTCTAGTCCTCTCTTTAGTGTCATTTCCATTTTGGTTCTGGGAGGAGGTATCATGTCCTCCTACTTGGCCACCATCTTGCAACCCCTACTCCATTCAAAGAAGGCTCTGTTCTTACATTCCAGTTCTGTATGTCCTGAGCTTAAGGGAAATTATTGGGGCTTTCTGAAAGAATAATTGGGGGGAAAATGAAGAGGGAGGCAGGCTCAGAGAGACAGGCAGTATTAGTCAGGAGACCTCTGGGCGGCCCCTGCATTAGACCACACAACCCTTGGCTGTAGGATATGTGAAGTCACCACAACTCATTCTGACAGGAGACCAAATGAAGTTGTCCTCCATCCTCTGATAAATGGTAAATGTTTCAACCCTCCAGCTGCATTTGTGTTTGTTTATGGAGTCTTAGAACTGAGGATCAAAAAAGATTTAAAAAGGCATCTAGTTCCACCTTCAGCTTGATGCTTGAATCTGTCTTCAACATTCTCATCAGGTCACCAGATGGCCTCTGCTGGCACATTATCTAGTAGCAGGGACTACACTACTGATCAAAGCAGCGCATTCTATGGATGAGCAGCCCAAAGTGTCAGAGTTCTTCCTTAAGTGTGTCTCCTTTTGTGTCATTTCTACCATTCTGCCCCAGTGCCCCCATCTTGAGAATCACAGAATAAATCTACTCCTTCTCCTCCAGGAAAGGCCTTTAGATAGTTACAGCCAGTGGCCCATCCTGGAAGGGAAGTCTTTCTGGTCCCCTTGTTTCTCATCAGACAGGATTTAAAGTTCCCCTCCCCCTCCCCCTCCCATTCACATCACTGTTTGATGGACAAGCTCTAGTTTTTCCACATGCTTTTTCAAAATGTGTGTCTAGAAGTAGACCCAGAACTGCTGGAGTAGCCTGACTGGCACAGAAGGGATGGGACCATTACCCCTTATTCTTTCCAAGGCCCATACTTCCATTCCAGCAGCCTAGGCTCTCACTCACTATTTTTAGGAGCTCTACCACATCTCTAATTCATATTTTGCATCCTGTGGAGTAAAACCTTCATTTTCATGCCCACTCCTGTGTCATGAGCAGCATTGGTTTAAATGTACACAGTATTCAAATATGTCCCATTGCTCTGTATTTGTGTCTGGACAATCAAATGGTTATGTTTCAGTACTAAACACAAAAGAAGAATCTGGAGTTCTCTTCCTGAGGTTCAGGGGAACACAGACACTACCAGAGGTACAGAGAAGGGGTGGAGTAAGGCTTGAGAATGGATCTGAATAGCCAGCATTAACTGTGAAGCCTTTATTTTTCAGTAGTCTGTGGGGCTTCATGTCAAATTTACATACAAGGAAGCAGAATATTAGGGGGAAATAACTATGGTGAAAAGAGCAGAAAATTGGAGCCTAGCACACCGATTCAAATCCCAGTCCTATCACTTCCCACTTGGAACCTTAGGCAAGTTGCCTCCACTTACGGAGCATCTGTGATTGGGGAAACAATATTCCAGTGTTTTATCTTAAACAGCTGTTCTCTGGCGAAAGCGCTTTTCTAACTTGAAGTGCTGAACTGGATCTTGATTATTAAAGTGTTATACTACATCCTAATACTTGAGTGCCTTTACAGGATCCCTCTCTCGTCTCACACTCATGTCTCTCCTACCCAGCCACGGAAAGCTGCCCCAGCTGTACTCTAGGCCAAATCCAGGCCATAGCATAGGTGCCCAGGCCCCCCGCCCGTTCCTAAGCAATGGGAGGACCGGAGCTCTAATTGCACCTTTGCCTTTTAACTGAATTACCCAGGGATCTCCCCAGACATCCGTTTCCTCATCCATAAAACAGGGATAAACACAGATAAGTGTGTGTGCACCTGTGGAGGGAGAGAGAGAGCGCGTGTGCGAGCTCTGTACACCACAAGGGATAATAGGCATTAGCTATGTAGAGCGGAGATGGTGAGAACCGAAACCGAGATCGTGAAACTGGTTCCGCAACGCAACCCAGCGGTAGCACAAGCCGAGGCAGGTAAAAGCCGGTGAGGAGGTCTCCCGGCGGCCGGCGTGCGGGGAATGCTGGTCCGCGCGACTGGATTGGGCAAGAGGCCTAGGAGAGGCGGGGCTTCCGGCGGCATCAGCGGCAGTTGTCAAGGGAGACGGCCGTAAGGAGGCGGAAGGAGCGGGCAAATACTCTGTGCCCTGCAGGCACTGGAGCTATGGCGGCCGTGGCGGTGTCTGAACCCGGGTGTCGGAGCAGGTTCTCGTGTCCCGAGGTGCCATCCGCCACCTTCTTCACCGCGCTGCTCTCGTTACTTGTGTCCGGGCCCCGTCTGTTCCTGCTGCAGCCGCCCCTGCCACCCTCCGGCCTCTCGTTAGGGTCTGATTGCCTGCGCAACTGGCAAGGTGAGCAGGGCAAGGCCGGTCCCGCTGTCAACCCTTTTTCTTCGAACTCGCCAGGCTCTGGGCTTCGGCCTCCCAGCACCGCACCATCAGGTCTTACCTCCTGCTACTTCGTTCACATCATTACTCTGACCCCCTCCCCCCCAGGGCCAGCCCCGTATCCCACGTCTTTGTCTTTCCATAGCCCCATCTTCGTCATCACTGAAACCTTTCCCTATCCTAATTTGTTCCCTTTCCTGTTGCCACCGGACTGATGAAGGCCCCTCCATACATTCGCTAGCAAACAGGTTTCTTTCACCCATGCTTGCTCTCCGAGGAGAAGGATTTTTCCTTCTCCCTCTCCCTTGTTATGTAGACGGTTACGTCTACTTTAGGGCTTAACTCCCACTGAAATCTTTTTTTCTCTCGCCTTCATTAAGACTTTAGATGTTTATCTGTGGCTATCCCAATAAGCGGACTGGACACTTAAGGTTTAGAATTTCTTCTGCTTCTTTGTTTGTATTCAGTCCTGACCCAGATTACCAGTTCATGGGGAAAGGGGCACCTTAAATGTTTGGGAGAGGTGTTCGTTTTCTTTAGGGGAGAGAAATTTGCAGAGCAATTAAGTATAAAAATCTCCTAAAATTCCATTTTTTCTGGGGAGGAAAATGGGGAATTTATGACTCTTGCTGTTTTGCAAAACACGCACACATACATTAAACTCATTTAATCCTTGAGATCCCATGAGGTAGGCTTTATTATTGCCCATTATTTAGACGGGACTGAGGCTTAATAAAGAGAATCACGGAGCTATAAAGTCATACAGTTGAGACAGAACCCAGATTATTCTTTTTATTGTGTGACGTTTTGCAACTGGAGATTCTGGATTTATAATCCTCAAATCATGTAGAGTTGCTTCTAGAATCTTCATAGTTGTACTTGGAATTTTAATTTTGGAAGTACTCAACAAATAATGAATTACTCTTCAGATAAGGAAGACAGTTTAACAGAGAGGGCCTGACTGAGGATCCTAGCCTCTCTCCTTGCCCAAATCTAAAACTCCTCCACCCACCCTGGGAGGCAGAGCATGTCATAGACAGATGCAAAATGTCAGCTTAAACCGAGCTCTGCCTTTTTCTTTCATTTACAGCTTCTCTGGGTGTGGGGGTTGTGGGATGTGAGTATTAGACACATAAAAGACCTTTAAAGGCCTCAAGTATAGCCCCATTACTTCACAGTAAGGAAACTGAAGCTAAGAGGGCCCATGACGTGAGGGCTCAGCCCGCCAGTATGTGAGAGATCCAAGACTCCAAGTCTTCAGGCTCCCAAGTCCAATATTGCTGCCACTTCACCAGTCCCCCTCCTTCGGTTTACCGTTTTGGCCTCCAAGGACATAAAAAGTACATAAGAGATGACTGCTTTTAGAAAAATAAAAGTGAAATTCTCTGCTGTCTTACTGCACATAAAGTATTCTACTTATAGGACTGGGTGAGCACTTTCAAGGAAGACTTCTGAGTTTTGTATCTATATTATTAGTGATAATTTATATATTTTTTACAACTAGATTATAGTGATAATCTTTATAGGTGCAAAATAATTTATGGTCCCTTTTTTCTTCCTCTGAACAGCCACTATGGAAGGAGAGGTCAGGATTACAGCCGAGGAGACTGGCACACAGAGTGTTAAGGGACACCCACTCAATCCACCCTGAAGCTGTTACAATTAATTAACCCTCAAACTGCCTGGTGAGATAGGTCAGTATTAAAACCTAAAAAAGGGGCATAAAGCACAAATTACAAATTTGAAGACCATCCCATGCTAAAAAGTGTTCTTTTTTTCCCCACATGGAAATCGGTCACTGATAAGACTTACTCCAGGTGTGGGAAAGAGCAAGGATTTAGATATTCATACCTTTACTTTGAATCTTGGGTTCTACATTGTTGCTTCCCACTGCTTATGTTGGCTTCTGGCTGATTTTAGCTAGCTCTCAGTACTATATTATGGGGCTACTCAGGGTTGTAACCTGTCCTTCCCACCTTGGAGCAACCCACTGTCAGGCCTCTAACCCACCTTCTCTGCAGTTTACAGGCTGGTGACCTACATCTTTGTCTACGAGAATCCAGTGTCCCTGCTCTGCGGTGCTATCATCATCTGGCGCTTTGCTGGCAATTTTGAGAGAACCGTGGGCACTGTCCGCCACTGCTTCTTCACCGTGATCTTCGCCCTCATCTCCGCTATCATCTTCCTGTCGTTTGAGGCTGTGTCATCACTGTCGAAGCTGGGGGAAGTGGAGGATGCCAGAGGTTTCACCCCAGTGGCTTTTGCCATGCTGGGAGTCAGCGCTGTCCGCTCTCGGATGAGGAGGGCCCTGGTGTTTGGCATGGTGGTGCCCTCAATGCTGGTGCCATGGCTCCTGCTGTGTGCATCCTGGCTCATTCCCCAGACCTCCTTTCTCAGTAACGTCTGTGGACTTGGAGTTGGGCTAGCATGTATCCTTTCTAGAAGGGAATTGGAGAATGATGACATCCCAAAGGGTGAACCAAGATACAGGGTCTGGGTAGGGGGTCACATTGAGAGACCCATGGGCTCAGGTGTAGGTAATGTGGGTTCTGGCTTCAGCTTTGAAAACCATGTGGCCTTGGGTGGGTGGCTTCCCTTTTGTGGGTCAGAATTTCCTCATCTGGAAAATACCAACATAGTTATCCTTTCATGCCAGCTTAGTACTACCAGTTAATAAAATATTCTGATTAGATTTTTTTCCCTTGTCAACTAAGGTATAGACGTACATTTGACTAATTATGTTAAGAGTTTTCATTGGAAGAATCTCATTGTGCGGTGGAGAAATTCCATGAAGAAAATAGGAAACGTGGGTTTGTTTATTTTAATTTTTGTTTGGTTTACTCTTTTAGGAAAAAAACCCAACTTTTTGTAATGATAGGCTTTTACTATATGAGTGGTTAAAAACTTAGGGTAAACCTTATATCCCTTATATAAATATTCTGGCAATTAGTGGGAAAAAATCTAAAATACAAAGTAGATTACTTGTTTTAAACATCAAAATTGTAGTGTTGGGTTAGGTAGGTGCATTCCTAAAATCTCTTTTATTTGTGGTTCAATTAGCTAGTAGGGTAGGTAGTGTAAAAGTAAATACACATTGATAATGTAGCTGTAATTTTTAAGTTTTAATTTGATTTTTATTGACTTTAAACCTTTTTCCTAATGAAAATTTAACCCTAAATATTCCCCTGTATGCACTACTTTAGTTACCTCCCACAAATATTCATGTATTGTATTATCATCACTCAGTTAAAAGTATTTTTTAATTTTCCTTAGGATTTCTTCTTTGACCCAGGGGTTATTTATAAGTGAGTTGTTTAATTTCTAAATATTCAGTGATTTCCCAGACTTCTTGTTGTTACTGATTTATAATTTTATTTCATAACGTGGAGAACATCCTTTGTAATATTTCAGTCCTTGTAGATGAGTTCTGGGCCAGCATTCGGTGCGCCTTGGTGAATGTGCTATGTGTATGTGAAAGGAATGTGCATTCTGCAGGTGGTGGGTATATGCCAGTTAAGTCAAGGTGTTAATGTTGTCTAAGCCTTCTGTATCCCTGTAGTTCTCTCGATTACTGAGAGGACTGTTAAAATCTCAAACTAAAATTGTGGATTTGTCTAATTTTTCCTTTCAGTTCTTGTCAGTTTTTGCTTCAGGTATTTTGAAACTCTATTATTGGATGCATACACAGGATTGTTATGTCTCTTAATGAGTTCCCCCTTTATCATTATGAAATTGACCCTTTAATTTCTGTTACTCTTCTTTGTCCCAAAGTCTTTGTTGCCTGATAATAATATAATTATTCCAGTTTTCTGCTTTCTTAAAATAGGAATTTATGTGGTATATATTTTTCCATCCTTTTTAACAAAATGTGTCTTTATATTCAAAACATGTTTCTTACAGATAGCATGTAGTTGGTTCTCCAATCTTTGCCTTTTAAATGGCATGTTTAGCTCATTTACATTTAGTGTAATTATGGATACAGTTGGGGTTAAGTCTACCAGTTTGTTGTTTATTTTCTCTTTGTCCCAGATGTTCTTTTTTTCCCCTCTTCTGCCTTCAGTCACATTTTTTTAGCATTTTATCTTCACTTTTTGATTATTAATCTCTTTGTTTTATTTTTTAGTAGTTGCTTTAGAGTTTTCTTTTTTTTTTTGATGATAGGTTTCTTTTTAAGATTTTATTTGTTTATTCCTAGAGGGGAAGGGAGGGAGATAGACAGAGAGAGAGAGAAACATCAACGTGCAGCTGCTGGGGGCCATGGCCTGCAACCCAGGCATGTACCCTGGCTGGGAATCGAACCTGGGACACTTTGGTTCCCAGTCCTCGCTCAATCCACTGAGCTACGCCAGCCAGGGCTTAGAGTTTTCAATAAGCATTTTTAGTTTATCACATACTCCTTTCAGATAATACAGGGTGGGGCAAAAGTAGGTATACAGTTGTGAGTATACAAAACACAGGCTTTATACTTGTATTATTATTTACTAATTGTGTTATTTTCCATACAGTTAACTATAAGCCTACTTTTCTCCCACCCTGTATATCACTTTGTATATAATGTAAGAATATTATGGTATTATATTTGCTTTCCTTCTTTCTATCCTTTATGTCATTGTCATACATTTTATTTCTATATGTTATAAACCTCATAATACATTGCTGTTATTTTTTTCCTTTTTTTTTAGATTTTATGTATTTATTTTTAGAGAGAAGGGAAAGAAGGAAAAAGGAGAGGGAGAGAAACATTGATGTGCAAGAGACACATCGATTGGTTGCCTTTTGCATGCCCCCAATCAGAGACCTGGCCCGAAACCCAGGCATGTGCCCCGACCAAAACAGTGACCTTTGGGTACACAGGGTGGTTCTCAATCCAGTGAGCCACACTAGCCAGGGCTTATTATTATTTTTAATTTTTTTTTGTTATTGAGAGAGAGAGAGAGAAGGAGAGAGAGAGAGAGAGATCTCTCTAGCTAGGGCTTATTATTTTTAATTTTTTTTTATTGAGAAAGATCGATTTGGTGTTCCACTTATTTATGCACTCATTGGTTGCTTCTTGTAGGTGCCCTGACCAGAGATCAAACCTGCAAACTTGGCATATAGGAACAATGCTCTAACCAACTGAGTTACCTGCCCAGGGCCTATTACTTTTGTTTTAATTTTGTTACTTTTGGTTTAAACAGTTAATTATATTTTTTAAAATAAAAAAGCAATTTTTTGCCCTGGCTGGTGTGGCTCACTGGATTGAGCACCAGCCTGTGGACCAAAGGGTCACAAGTTCGATTCCCAGATCAGGGCAGATTAGAGGGGCTGAAGAAATAGAAAGGGTCAGCACTGGGGAAGGGGAAGTGTTGACACCTATCTACCCTCTCCTTTTGTTGGGTTCTGTTCCCTCTGAGGTACAGGGGATGAAAGCTCAACTCCTGTTTTCCCTTGAGCTTGAAATTCCATCAGAATTTATGGTGGAAAAGACACTAATGCCCCTGTATTACAAATGTGGAAGCCCATATTCTTCTCTGGGGAGTGTTCAGCCCTCCTCTCTTTAGCTGCCTCCAGTTTTGCTTAATATGCCAACCTCAGATGGCTTCACGTACTGCTACTCCCTCGACCTATCAGAGCGAGTAGCACTGAAGCTCGACCAGAAGTTCCCTTTCAGCCTTGTGAGGAGGATTTCGATGCTCAAGTACATCTCAGGCTCTTCAGCTGAAAGAAGGGCAGCCCAGAGTCGGAAGTAAGTTACAGAACCCTTAAATCTTACTCTTAAGGCAACTCCAGGGCCTGTAGAAGGTGTGACTGGTTCAGTATCACGGGGGGGAGAAGTATAGGATGTGGGTGGCTGGGGGCCCAGGAAATCTGTGCACAGGTGTCTTGGAGCACTCTGGATTCTGCCCAACTGCATCTGAAGTCAGGAGCGAGCAGGAATGAGAAAGGGAAGGCATTAGAAGAAACACTTGTGCATAAAGCTCCTTGAGTGACCTGTGGCGGACTAGGAGGGAGTGGCCTACCTAGTGTTATTACCAGCGCTTAGCACTGACACACACTCTGCAGGTCGCACTGGGCTCTAGCGTGACACACTGGTAAGAAGCACGCACAGTTCACACAGCTGACTCGGTGGCTTAGGAGGTAGCACAGCCCAAGACCTGAAAGGTGGGGTTTTCTTGGCCACCCTTCAGGAAAAGGTGATGTTTACTGTTTTCTAATACAGGCTCATTAACTCTCAATGAAAAGTGTTAGGCAAGCCGTCAGAGCTCTTGGAGCCTTGTTCCTTCTTTTTAGAGAGGAGGCCCAAAGAGGACAAGAGTCTTTCTGCATGTAACACAGGCAGGAGAACCAGTCTAGAGCTAGGGTCTCCCGCTTTCAGGTCTTCCTCACTCCCTTTCCACTGTGCCACACGGCCGGCCTCTCCTTCTCTGCTTTCTGTCCACGCTGAGATTTCACACTGTGAGAGGTTTTCTTTCCTTCAACAGCGCCTCTGAAAGGAATGCTAACTCACTGTGAAGGCCAGGTGTCAGTAGCCCTTTTCTGCCCCTAACCCATGTGTGCAGTAAATTTTGCCCTCCATGCCTGCCTGGAAACAGGGTTTGGGTTAAGTTGGAAGCTGCTTTTATTTCAGGAGGTGGAGATTCTCAGCCTTCACCAGCTCAAGGCCTTTTGACCATTTTTAGAAAAAAAAGGTGTTTTATAGCCCTGGCTGGTGTGGCTCAGTAGATTGAGCGCCTGTCTGCGAACCAAAGGGTTGCTGGTTTGATTCCTAGTCAGGACACATGCCTGGGTTGCATGCCAACTCCCCAGTAGGGGGCGCACAAGAGGCAACCACGCCTTGATGTTTCCCTCTCCCCCTTCTTTCCCCCTCTCTACAAATAAATATAAAATATTTTTTAAAGATGTTTTATAATTATTTTTTAATCCTCATCCAAGGACATTTTTTTATTACTTTGAGAAAGAGAGGAAGGGAGAAAGAGAGAGAGAGAGAGAAACATCTGTTGGTTGCCTCCTGTATGCACCCCAACTGGGGATCGAACCTGAAGCCTTTTGGTCTATGGGATGATGCTCCAACCAACTGAGCCGCACAGTCCAGGACCCTTTGACCCTATTTTAAAGGCACGTTTTTGGCAGGGTAGGTTTCAGGGTTCTGCAAACAACAGAAATGCAGATTCACCTACTTTGCTTCAGACAAGTAATTCCTGGGGTCTAAATATGTGGGAGACAGTTTAAATATAGAGTGAAGTGAATTGTGGCTTTTTGACTTTTAATTGTTCTCATGAAATCTTGAGAGGACTTAAGGAGTCCTCAAGTGAGAGTTCCTTCTAAACAGTTGGTGTAGTGGTCACGATCACCCAGCCTTAACACCCCCGGGTGGGTGGGTGCTCACTCTCCAAGGCAGCCCCTGATGAGGAAGTTCTTCCACACTGAATTGCAGTCACCTCTCCGTAACTGTGACTCATTGGTGCCGGGGTGATCCCGCTTTACCATGACATGCAGATCTGAGTGGGGCGACGTAACTTTTTCAGTTCCTCCCATGTTCCTCACAGTGTTTGGCCCCTCATTGGCCTGGCCTGGCCTGCCACTGGCACCCAGAACACAGTGCGGCGTCAGATGGCCTGATGGTGGCATGTGGGCAACATTGCAGCACGTGCATTTGGGCAGCTTGGCCTCCCTGGAGGCTCTTGTCGAGCTTCTGGTAGGCCCAGGTCTCTGCAGTTTAAAATATCCCAGGAGAAGTGCCGTTAAGTGTCCCATGTCTGTACTTACTCATACATTTGATTTCTACGGTCAGGCTTCTAATTCAAATGTACACAGGTTCAGTCCAGTCACCTAACAGACATCAGCGGTGTTGGCGTTCATTCTCTACATTTGGAACTCTGCACAAAAGTTCAGAGGATAAAATCCTTAGGCCGTGTCCCCATTCATGGTCCCACCCACTCGTGTCTATGGCGGGGCTTTAACCTCAGCACAGACCATTCCCCACTGCCACCACTTCAATCTCTGCCAGCCTGGACTTTCAGCTGCAAGGGTTTGTTTCTGAAATCACGGGTAGGAAACACAACAGCCCAGGCCCGGGCCCAAGCCTGGTGTTACCCCGTCAGAGCCGTCCCGCCCTCTTTCCACAGGCATGGACCCACTCTTTGTGGGCAGAATCGCTCAGCCAGCCCCTGACCACTGTGACCTAGTCCCCATCTTCACATCCGGGTTGCACACTACCGACTAGGTTACACTCAGGTGGTCTCAGCACAAGCCCGATATCCCTTCCTCCTGCTGGCTCTGTGTTCTGTTTGGTTGAGTTTAACTTTTCTCCCTGCCTGGTATGTAGAGTAAATGTCCACAGCATGTTGTAATAGTAAGCAGTGTAGTGTCTCCAACCTTTTCTCACGTGGAATGACAGCTGGGGATGCTCTGTGCCTTGGCTTTCCTAGCTGAATGACTGTTTTCTCTCTCTTTGCATTCCAGGCTGAACCCTGTGCCCGGCTCCTACCCCACACAGAGCAGCCACTCTCACCTGTCCCCGAGCCACCCTGTTGCTCACATGCAGCACGCCAGCGGCCAAAAGCTAGCCTCCTGGCCAGCTTGTGCTCCCGGTTCTGGGCACATGCCCAGCCTGCCTCCCTACCAGCCTGCCTCTGGCCTGTGTTATGTGCAGAACCATTTTGGCACAACCCCTAACTCCTCCGGAGTCTGTCTGGGTTCCACAGGGGCCTCTTTAGGGGTCCAGCCCCCTGCCTCTCTCAACTGCCCCGGAACCGTGTGTTCTGGGGTCCTGCCCACGCCAGTGACTGCAGCCTCCAAGGAGGGCTCAAGGGCCCTGATCCCCTGATGGGAAACTTCCAGGGAGGTTATCCTTACATCTCAGCCTTCCAAAGAAGGTCCTTTTGAGCTAAGGTTTCTTGACAAAAAAAATTATTTATTGAACACCTCTATGCGCCAGGCTCTGTGTTAAGTACTTTGATGTATGTCTTTATTTCATCCTCACGACAACATTGTGAAGTACGGTGTATTGTCCCCAGTTTATACCTGCACTAGCGAGGCTGTGATTACATGAAGGCACCTAGCTCTGTATGGCACAGCTGGGCTTCTTGGCTCCAGGCCCAGGGCTCCTCCCACCTGCTGTCCTGCCTCCCAAAGAACACCTGGTTGTCAGTGGCTCTCAACTAGTTCTAGCTCTGCATTTTCTTCCTGTCACTGTGTATAGTGCTCTTGATTGTATGGTGTCTGTGTGCATCTGCCCGTCTGGAGCTCCGGCCCCCCAGGTGTGCTCGGCAGTCCCCAGGCCTGGGTAGTGTTCCTCCCCTGCCGTGACTGCCCACTCCCCACCCCTTAAGACTTCTGCCCCGGAGTGGTGAGAAGGACCAGTGTAAACCGCGGCCGCATGCTGGTGGTTCTATAATGTTGATTACCTTTGTATAAAGAAACAACCTCTAACCTGCTGTTGTCTGTGGTCTCTTTGTGGTCTGGCTGTGGCAGGTAGAGCAGGGTTTGGGCAGGGGTGAGACAGGGCCTGCCTGTAAAGAGGAGAGAGAGAGTGGGCGTCAGCTCAGGCAAACGTCATCCACCCAATGGACATCTGACACGGGGAATGAGTTGCAAAGGTGCTGGGAGAGTTGAAAGGGCAAATGGGAAAGTTTGACAACAGGGAGACGGGCAAAGCTGGAAGCCACTATTGCATTTAGGGAGGAGCGGGTGTTACCAGAGCTCCAAGTGGAATCGGTGCGAGAAGGGCTGCCTGGCAAGACCTTATGCCAAAGAGTGAGAGCAGGCCCTGGCAGTGATGGCATCTGAAGCAAGAGCAGGGTCCAGGGGGAAGAGCCCTAGTTCCTCTGCTTGTCACCTAACATTAGGGTGTCCTGTGGGCCAAATTAACCAGGAGCCTTTTGGCAAGTGAGCCCAGGAAATGTAGTTTGGGGTGGGGGTGACTCCTCTGAGGCAGGACAGGACAGGACAGGAATGTGAGTCAATAGGCACTTGACCAGCCTGAGCAGAGCTCCTGGCTCCTAGCAAGCCATCAGCTGGAGCTCCTTGCAGTGGCATCCCACTGAGAAAGCATGCCAAGTTGCAGGTGTTTTCACGGTATTGAAACACATGACATTTGCTAATTCTGGGAGCCAGAAGGCCTCCCCTGGGCTGGCTCTTTGACAGGTGCCAGGTATTAGAGGTGGATAAGACACATACAGATCCACCCGGCCCAGACGAGGGCAGGCAGTGACAGGCTCCTGGGTGGCCCACACCAGACAAGAGGGTGGAGGATGAAGCCGAGAGGGCGATGCCACAGCTGGATTGTGGAGTAGGATAGCCAGCTGAGGAGTGAGGTGCCCAGACTACAGCTGGGGTTTGCCTGTAGTCACAGGTCTAGCAGGGCTGGGCCCGGGGCCTCTGTCTCCAGCTACACCTGGCACCTTTCCCATAGTGTCACTGGATGAACACAGGCTGCTGTGTCTGTTAGGCATTCTCCCTCTGCTCCAGTCTCAGGTCTGTACCCAGAAGCAGATGAGAGGGTCACCTGCTCCCAGTGTGGCCAGGTGTCATCCTTTGGGTCTGACCTTTGTGGACTGTGGTGCTATGGAAGCCGAGGGCCTTGGAGATGGTCTGGCTGGAGGGCCCTCTCAAGTCCCCAGATAGCAGACCTGTGAGGGTCCTCAGAGGTCGTTCAGTCCACCCATCTCCTCCGCTCCTGGTTTTACTAATGGGGTTCCAGGGAGGCAGGATGGGGCTGGTGGAGCAGCCAGCAGCAGCCCCTGACTGACGTGGGCCCCTACTGCAACTGCCTCTCTGAGACTGGCTCTGCTTAGTGTGGATGGAAAAGGGCCACAGACTAAACCTGACCGGCTCAGGGGAGGCCTGCGTGGTGGCCTTATCAACTCAGAGACCTAAAGTGACCACAAATGAAATGAAAACTTACTAACCAAAAGCAGTTTATGGCAAGTAGTCATGGCCTACGCTAGAATCTACCCTGACCAAAGTTAATCTTTTCCTTAATTAAGCCTGTCTATTGTCTTTTCGCATGTGTGATAACATACCTTTGGCATGTCCAAGTAATTTCTTTTTGCTGGACCCCTGAAAACACAGACACCACACCAGGGCGCCAAGGTGGAGACCACAGACCCCCTCACTGTTACTGAGTTGTTGACCATTGACTGTCCTGCACCCACCCATGTAAAAGAAGTGTCTATCATTTACTTTTTACCTAACCCCAGAAGTTTCCTTGCTTTGCTTTCTCCCATCTCCCTAATCTAGCACCAGTGGATTTCACATAACCCATTTAATGTCTTCTCTCTTTTTTTCCAATTAAGTGTATTTTATTGACTAGGTTATTACAGCTGTCCCAATTTTTCTCCCTTTGCCCTCTCTTCCCAGTAGTCCCTCTTCCATCCAGCAATCCGCCCCCCACCCACTTATTTCATGCCCATGGCTTGTACATATAAGTTCTTTGGCTTCTCATTTCCTATACTATTCTTAACATCTCCATGTCTATTTTGTTGCTTTTTAATCCCTACACCTTTTCCCACATCCTCCCCCCACCCCCTCCCCACTGATAACCCTCCAAATGATCTCCATACCTATGATTCTGTTCCTGTTCTGGTTGTTTAGTTTTCTTCTGTTTGTTTGTTTGTTTGTTTGTTTGTTTGTTTTGATTCAGTTGTTGATAGTTGTGAATTTGTTGCCTTTTTAATGTTCACAGTTTGATCTTTTTCTTAAATAAGTTCTTTTAACATTTCATGTAATAGCTTGGTAATAATGAACTCCTTTTGTTTTACCTTGTCTGGGAAGTGCTTTATCTGTCCTTCCATTCTAGATGATAGCTTTACTGGCTAGAGTAATCTAGGTTGTATGTACTTGCTTTTCATCACTTTGAATATTTCTTGCCAGTCTCATCTTGTCTGCAAAGTTTCTTTTGAGAAATCAGCTGATAAATTTATGGGAACTCCTTTGTAGTTAACTTTCTGCTTTTCTCGCTGCTTTTAATAGTTTCTCCTTATGTTTAACCTTTGGCATTTTAATTATAACGTGTCTTAGTGTGGTCCTCTTTGAGTCCAACTTGTCTGGGACTCTGTGTTTCCTGGACTTGTATGTCTTATTTCCTTCGCCAAATTAGGGAAGTTTTAATTTCATTATTTTTTCAAATAAGTTTTCAATTTCTTGCTCTTCCTCTTCTCCTTCTGGCACCCCTATGATTCAGATGTTGGCACTTTTGGAGATATCTGAGAGTCTTGTACTATCCTCACTTTTTTAAATTCTTGTTTCTTCTTTCTTTTCTGGTTGAATATTTATTTCTTCCTTATATGCCAAATCATTGATTTGAATCCTAGTTTCCATCCCTTCACTGATGTTTCCCTGTACATTTTTTTATTTTCACTTAGTGTAACCTTCATTTTTTCCTTCATGTTGTTGCCGTACTCAATGAGTTCTTTGAGCATCCTGATCACTGGTGTTTGAACTCCACATCTGATAGGTTGGCTATCTCTGTTTCGTTTAGTTATTTTCTGGCATTTTGTTCTGTTCTTTCATTTGGCCCATATTTATTTGTCTCCTCAATGTGGCAGCCTCCCTGTGTTTGTTTCTGTGTATTATGTAGAGTTGCTTTGGCTTCCTGTAAAGGGCACCTGTCAATTGTATGGGGTGGAGCCTTAGGTAATCACTAGAGTGGGGCAATCCACTTAACTGCTTAGTGGCTCTGTTGGTGGGGAGGGCTCGGAGAGGGGACTGTGCCACACTGCCTGGCTTCTGGGGTTTGCTTGGCATTCACCCCATTTCCATTCACTTTACCCCCTTCCTATATGCGACTGGCACCCTTCCAGCTGTTGCCCAGGTGTTGAATCCCAAAGTGGGTGGGTTTGCATATGTTTTAAGACTGTGTAGGCCCTTTATGTGAAGTTTCCTGAAAATATGGCAATTTCTTCTGCCACCCCAATTCCCACTGGTTTACAGCCAGAAGTTATGGGGATTTATCTTCCTCACATTGGAACCCTGGACTGTGCAGTCCGGCCTGAGGCTGGGATCCCTTGCTCCCAAGGAATCACTCCCAATTTTTATTTACCACATGTGAATATAGGATCGCCTGTGCCTGTTCTGCCGCTGCCACCACCTCTCTGGGCCACATCGCATCTCCTCACTTCTCCGCCCCATCTCTGTGTCTTCACCTCTCCTCTGCATGTGGATGGTTGTGGCTTCTTTAAATATCTGGTTGTCAGACTTCCATTCAATTTTCTGACAGTTCTGGGTGTTATTTGTTTTGCAGTTTAGTGTAATTCTTTTTTTTTTAAGATTTTATTTGTTTATTTTTAGAGAGGGGAAGGGATGGAGAAGGAGAGGCAGAGAAATATCAATGTGTGGTTGCCTCTTGAATGCCCTCTACTGGGCACTTGGCCTATAACCGAGGCATGTGCCCTGACTGGGAATAGAATCCATGACCTTTTAGATTGCAGTCCTTTGCTCAATCCACTGAGCCGCACCAGCCAGGGCTAGTTGTAATTCTTTTTGTAGTTGTGTGAGGAGGCGAAGTGTGACTACCTATGCCTCCATCGTGACCAGAAGTCTTCATCCCACCTCTTCTCTTTTGGTTGTAATGTATAAAGCAGGTGCAGAACTGCCTTTCTCAGGAGCATTTTCTCAATCTGTTGAGGTTTTGCTTCCCAGCAATTGTCTGTTTGACTCAAATAAACTCATAAAAAATTCTTACAGGTTTGGACGTTTCTTACATTGACATTAGTCTTTTTGTTCCCTTGGACTTCCATTGGTCTGGCCTCAGAAAACAGCAAGAAGCCTGGACCAAAGTCGAAAAGGGCCATTTCTCCCCCCGACCCCATATACATTTTAGAGGACCTGGAAGGGATCCAAAGTCCCTTCCCCTTTTGCCTATTAAATCATCTGCTAGTGTGTCCCATGTCCGAAAACATCGAGTATCTGCCAGTCCTCAGGCTGTGGCTAGAGACTGAAATGAAGCTACAAATCCACCCAGACTGGTGAGTGCAGAGAACCACCAACATGAAGCTGCCACTCAATATTTGTTGAATGAATCAATGAGCAGGTGGTCCCTGCCTTTGGGGATTTCAGGCTGGGGGTTGAGGGGAAGGAATGGACAAAAAGAGAATTATAAGTCAACAACACTTTTCAGGTGCTCAGAAGCCCCCCAGACCAGCCTGGAGAACTGGGGTGCAGCGGATCAGATACTGAGCACATACCCTTCCATGGAGAGAGAGTAGGCTTTGGATGGAGGGAAGCAGGACAGCACCAACCATGTCCCCTGGCTGTTGTTAGGAGAATGAAGAATATAAAGAAAAGCCATTGTTCCCTGCACTCCAAAAACCTCTCTGTTATCCCCAGGCAAGACAGGACCCACTGCTGCCAGAGAAGCTTCCAGACTTTGTCCAGTTACCTCTCTTTATCAGCAGGAGGCAGCAGAGAAGCAGAATCACACCATTGCAGCCTTTAAAAACCTAACCTGGGGCAAACTGTGAGTACGGGGGCGAGGGGGGGGGGGGAGCTGGCTCCTGTCCTGGAGGAACTTACTGATCAGATTTGTAGATAACTACAGCACAAGAGCTGTGGAAGGCAGGTAATGAGCAGTTCTGTGAGGCTTCATTCCTTCAAGCACCTGTCCTTCCCCCACCCTCCTCCCTCCCCCTCCTCCTCCTCTTTTCTTTTCCTTCCTTCCTCCCTCCCTTCCTCCCTCCCTTCCTTCCTTCCTTCCTTCCTTCCTTCCTTCCTTCCTTCCTCTTTCTTTCTTTCTTTCTTTCTTTCTTTCTTTCTTTCTTTCTTTCTTTCTCTTTTTCTCTCCTTCTTTCCTTCTTTTCTTTCTTTCTCATTTTGTGAGCAACTGCTGAGTTCCAGGCCTGTGGTAGGCTCTAGGGACATGAACTTGGAAAAGAACCAGACCTGCCTTGGATGTACTCATAGTTCATTCAGGGAGACATGCCATGTGGAGTGAGATTGAGAGGAACCCACCTGGGAGGGTCAGAGAAGAGCCTTCTGGGAGGAGAAGAGTTAACCGGGCAAGGGAGGGACCAGGGAGATAGAGGCTGACAGTGTGAGCAAAGACAGGAAGGTATGGGTCCGGTAGGTGGGGCAGAGGATTGGAGCACAGAGGCTAAGAGGGCAGACAGGAAATTGATAGTTGCAGTAGTGTAACCGAGCAAACCAGGGCTCATGCATGTGGTGCCTTGGTGCATGACCCAACAATTAGTGTTGAGGGAAACAGATTTTTATTTACAGGATTCCAACCTCTGGGTGGGAGGGGCTGGCAGCACCCCTGCTCGGAGCCCTGTTCTCCCATGAGACCCAGCACTTCCCCCGCTCCCCACCAGGCTATAAGCCCAAAACATGCCCAAATATTCCTCATGCCCTTATCTGTTCTTAAGCCACTGTGCAGTTTCCCATTCCCTCTGGAAGGCACACTTGTGGGTTTCAGCATCGCCATCCTGTCACAGCAGCTCTCCCCTTCAGCATCTGGGTACGTTGTCCTCAGCCTCCATGTAGTAGTCCAGAAAAACAGGTGCTATGTTACACTGGATCATAGTGGAGTCCAGGAATGCACACATGCCAAGAGAGTAGCTTCTCTGTACATCCTTTAGGGACGCAAAAGTCTGTAGTCTCAGCATTCCTGGTCACTGTTCAGCATTCCAGGCATCTCCCATGAATCTGTGCTTGGTTAGGCAGGTTCCCACATGTATGTGATTAAGGCTCACAACTACATATATTCATACCTATCCACACACAAAATCATGCATAAGCTGACCTGAGCACAAGTACATGTTGTACCTACATGCATGTATACATGTCACTTCACAGAGCAAAATGAGCACTTGGGTGGTGACCACCTAACCCCGCCCTCTCCTGCCACCTTGCCCAATGCAATCTAGCCTACTTCCCCAATCCCATTCCCCACCATCCTTCTGCCTTTACACAAACCCACCATGCTGCTAGTGCTGTGTGAAATAACCAGGCAGCTGGCAGGAAGCCTCTGGAAACGCTCACTTCAGGAGCAAGGGTGACCATTTGTGGCCCATGATGAACAAGGTAACAGGAAAGCCCTTGGAGCCTGAACTTCCTGTTCCAATTGCCCATCTCACTCTGCCTGGAATTGCACCATCAGAGAGCCACTGCTCTGAATAAGGCTCATCAAACTTTGAGAGGACACTGGAAAAGATCCTGAGTCCAGCCCTCACACTGCACTCAGGATTGTGAGGCCCAGAGAGGGGAGTTATTAGCTAAGGACACAGTGAATCTGTGACAGAGCCAGCACAGAACCCAGGTCTTCTGTTTTGTCTTTGCCCCACTGTTTTGGCCCTTGGGTAGAGAAGTGAGGTGGACAGCTGGGACCACAAGCAGGTAGGGGCTCTGATCTGGCCCAGCTGAGCCTGCTTGGGTATGCTAACTCAGGAGCTTAGGCACAGAGTCTGGGGCCCCAGTGCTCATGAACTACCCTGAGGCCCTCTTCCATCAGAATCTTCTACAGAGAAAGGTGGCATTGGCATGTGGGAGCACTCCAAACCCTGCCAGGATGGCTGAGAACTCTGGAAGAGAGATCAGGAGCTTGAGTAAGAGCAGGTGAGACCTCTCTCCCACCAGGTGGGGCCAGGTCCTGGAGGCAGACACACAGGACCAACCCCAGGGAGCTCCCAGGGCAGAGGAGAGCAGAGAGGAACCCACCTCCCAAGGCTGGATGGGATGGACCTCTACCCCTCCCACAATCCCATCCCCAACTTTAGTCCCCCTTGCAGGCACTAGCCCTTCTCCACTCACCCTCTTAAAGGGAGATTTCAGGGGACACTTTAAGGACAGAGGAGAAAGGCTCTCTATGAAACCCAACCCTACTCCTTACCCCAGGCAGGGACATACCCCTTGTACTATTGGCAGAGCCAGGCTTTACCCAGGAAGAAGCAGATCAGGGTGAGGAGGAAAGCCAGGGTGTGCGCACAGAGCACCTGCACACGGCAGCCGCAGCAGCAGACCCACTGCCTGGGCCGCAGCACGGAGGGAAGCTTGCAGCTTGGGGAGCAATCAGTGGCTCCTCAGAGGCCCACATTCCAGCCCCTGCCTTGTCGGTGCAGCAGCCTCCTGGCCCCAACTTTGGGCATCTCCAGGCCCTTCCAAGACACCCTCTACCCTTTTGTCAGTGTCGTGGGTTGAATTGTGTGCCCCCCCCCAAATGTTGAAGTCCTGATCCCGGTGCCTATGAATGTGACCTCACTGGGAAATAAAGTCTTTACTGAGTAATTCAGTTTCTGAATTACTGTAATTACCAGGTCATACTGGATTAGGGTGGGTCCTAACTCCAACAACTAGTGTCCTTCCAAGGCCATGTGGAGACACAGGGAGACAGGGAAGATGGCCATGTGAAGACGGAAGCAGAGGTTGAAGGAATGGGTCAACAGGTCAGAGGTGGGTCTTTACATTGCCAGGAGACACCAGGAGCTGGGAAGGAGAAAGGATTCTTTGCTCTCTGAGGATTCCTCGGAAGAAGCACAACTTGTTGATACTTTGCTTTTGACGTTCTGGCCTCCAGAACAGTGAGAGAATACATTTCTATTGTTTTAAGCCACCTACTTTCTGGTGCTTTGTTACAGCAGCCCTAGGAAACGAATACAGGCCAGTTCAGCTCCCCGAGTGGCTACATTCGGCACATGGCCCTTCTGCTTGGAACCTCTGGGAGCCCCCACGGCCAGCCACACCTGGCGCTCAAGGCCACCCCACCACTACATCCTCACTGCTGCTCTCTCACTTCCCCCCTCACCATCTCTCCACTGGCAACTTTGCTGGCTCCTTAGCATCCTGTTCTCATTCAGTGGGAGGCAAAAGGGGAAGAGAGTGGGAGAAAAATGAAATTTTGCACCTAGGTGACTGGAGTCCCTGCCGGAAATAAGAAGGCTGAAAGAGGGAGGTGGTCTACAGGCCTGGGCATGGGTGGGTGGGGGGCTGTGTCATTTAGGGCAGTTCAGTTTTGTGCAGTCAGAGGTGGTATTCTTCATCAAGAAGAATAGTGCTAGAATCCAGACTGGAGAATACATGAGGTCTGTCCAGAAAAATTCCAACCATTGTTAATATAAGAACAGTTTGTGTGACACTGATGTAACCTGGAAGCCAAGGAGAGTGGACTAGAATGCACATGCATGAATAATGATGACTTCACTGTACTAGTCACTAGGGGCAGTAGGTGCCACTGAGTGAACATGTGTACTGTGTGGCCGTTGCATTCAAAATGATTGAGCAAGCAGAGTAACAAGGCTGCATCAAATTTTGCATTAAGCTTCAACATTCCTCTGTGGAAACTATTGGGATGATTCAGAAGGCTGCAGCTATGGGCAACTGGTGATTGGTAGCTTCATCATGACAATGTGCCCACTCATACATCACATTTTGTTACAGAACAGACCTGGGGGCGGTGAATGATATACTATTACCGACTGGACCCACCCTTGTGCTCCAGGGGTCCCCCACCCCGTACTAGGTTCACCTTGCCTGCCACCAGGGAAAGACGTCTCTCATTGCCAGAGATTGGTGAAAAGGAAAGGGATTATTTATTTAAGGAGTTATACAAACTTAAGAGCAATGACTTAATGTCTTTGTTGAGGTCCCAAAGTCCTTTAGAATACCCACAAATGCACAGTCCTTCCTTCTCCCTCTGCCCAGTATGGGGTACCGTATCTCAGAAAAAGAAATAGAAATCTGTGGTTCTTCTCTGTCCAAGCTGTGTGGTCCTAAAAAGACTCCACATGGCTGCTACACCTGGGTTTAAATCCCAGCACCAATCTTCCTCTGCCACACCATTTCTAATTCCTCCCATAATTGGCCACAGCTGCCAGCATTCCCATATTTTTCCAGCTTTACTGGGCTGCCATAGTAAGTCTGGGAAGGTGTGGCCCTGTGGTGTGGAGCCAATCATCTCCAAGCTCTTACGCAGGCTCTGTGACCAGGGGAGTAGCTGCCCAGTTACATCATGGGTTGAAGTCACTCCCATCCTCCTGGCTCAAAGCATGGCCACAGCTGTTTAACATATCTATGATACCAGTTAAATGTTAAATGACCATGCTGGAGATTAGGTGCAAAACTGTTGCTATTCAAAACAACTCTTAAGGGCCCTGCTCCATGCGTCCCACCCCCAGCTCAGACTTGTGGGGGTGAGGACATCCTATATATATCTTTTTTTCTAATATTTTCTGGACACCAAGTTCTGGACCCCATTACAAATCCCTATTTGAGGCACCCCCCTTGGCTGTACCCTGTTACAATTTCATGGGGAGTTTTTTTCCAAAACATCAAATCACCCAGGTGACTCAGCCCCACTTCAGCCCAGATTAGCACCCTGCAACTTCTGGCTTTTCCCAAAACTAAAATTGCCTTTGAAGGGGAAGAGATTTCAGACTGTGATGAGATTCAGAAAAATACAACTGGGCAGCTGATGGCGACTGGGAGAACTGTGTGAGGTCCCAAGGTGCCTACTTTGAAGGAAACTGAGGTGCCATTGTCTCATGTACAAAGTTTCTGGTATCTTTGTCAATAAATGTCTCTATTTTTCACATTACATGGTTGGACACCTCTGGACAGACCTCGTACAGGAGAGGCCCCTCATGCAGGAGGAGGCTTTCTGCCGTCACACCAGTCCCACAGGCCTGAGCCTGACGCAGAGAAGGGAGAGGTCTGCCGGGGCGGTGACTTTGAAGGCCGAGGGAGGAGCTCTGATCGGAAGGAAAGAAAAGTATCCCAGGCTCCAGCAACCTTTCCCTGGCTTGAGGGCAAGTCACTTGGCTTCTCTGAGACTTAGGTAACCTATGAAGAGAAAGAATCCTGTCTGCCCCACAGAGGGAGATTTTATCTGTAAAAGAAGAGAGGGGTTAAAACCACAGCTTCTTTCTCACATTTGCACACAGCCTTCCACCTCCCCGAGCTACTGTTCCCTCACCTGCAGAGTAGAAATTATAATTCCTACCTTTAGGGAGGTTGTAAACATGTGAGTAAAGAACAGAGGCGCCTGGAGGGATGTGCACTCAATAAATGCAGCTTCCATGGTGGTAAAAGGCTTTATTAACTGTGGCAAATTGTACTAATTCACTTTGGCCTTCTCTGGGTAGCTGTCTGACTACTGCACGGCAGACTCCTTGAGGACAGGACTGTCTGGCTTGGAACTCTGTCCCGGAAGCCTGGCATTCACTTACACTCATTCACTGAACGTGTGCTATTCCAGTGCTGAGAAGCAGCAGTGAGCAAGGTGGCCAAACACTGACTTTGAAGAGCTTTAACAATATACCCTGGATGGTATGGCTCAGTGGACTGAGCACCGGACTGTGAACTAAAGGGTCGCCAGTTCCATTCCCAGTCAGGGCACATGCCTGGGCTGCGGGCCAGGTCCCTAGTGTGGTGCGCAAGAGGCAACCACACATCGATGTTTCTCTCCCTCTCTTTCTCCCTCCCTCCCCCTCTCTCTAAAAGTAAATAAAATCTTGAAAACTTTATTGAAACAACATATGTGTGCGTATGTTGTGGGAGGAGTAGAGGTGGAAAAGACAATTAGCAAACAGAGAAATAAATAAACAAGAAAAATATGAGCTAACAAGGTGCAGAGCATTAAAACAGGTCAGCTAGGCCCTGACCCCTGTGGCCCAGTTGCTTGGGCATCATTCCACAGGACGCAGTGTCACTGCTTAGGTTCCACAGGCTTGGGTTCCGGTTCGATCCAGGCCCTCAGTTGTGCGGGGCGTTCATGACAGGCACAGCTGATCCAGAGCGAACCCGCCTGTGTTTCTCCCACATCGGGGCTTCTGTCCCACAGGCCGATGAGTATGGAGGGTGGCAACCTGACATCAGGGAAGAGCTTCCTCTAGAGGCAAGTTTTCTGCTGAGACCTGGAAGAATCCAAGGAGCAGTCCCAATAGGATCAGAGTAAGAGTGTTCCAGGAGGACAAAAGAACAAGGGCAGGGGGCTGGTGGGAAGGAGTGGGGCAGGTTCAAGGAACAGAACAGAGTAGGTGGGGGGAGGGAAGCGGGATGGCACAGGGTGTTGCACACAGTAGGTACTCAACCAGTACTTATCGCCCTGGGAATCTGCATGTGGGCAGCTTGGGCTTAGGAGGCCATACCCATGCTCCAGGGTTAGTGCTCTGAGCCCATGTGACCTGTCCACCTGGCCCACAAGAAACTTAGAGTCATAGATCCTGGGAACCTGAGCCCTGGCAATGTCCGCCCTCACTCTTTTCTTCATTCATTCATTCATTTCCTCATCAAATATGAAGGGGACCCCCCCAGACCTGGAATTTATTTATTCAAAATCGTGTATTTATTCTTACATGTTTAAACTTCAATCACCTTCAAAGTACTCTCCATTTGATGCAATACAACTTTGGAGACATTTTTTGCCACTGCTCAAAACAATTTTTGAATTCGTCTATTTTGATGCCTTTCAGTGCTTCTGCCAGTTTTTGTTTCACCTCTTCCACATCAGCAGGACGTTTCTCTCTGAGGACTTTTTCTCATCTGGAGAAACGAAAAGAGTCACCAGGGGTGAGATCTGGTGAACAAGGAGGGTGAGACATGGAGGTCACGCCATTTTTGGTCAGAAACTGCTGCACACTCAGCGAGGCGGGGGCAGGTGTGCATGTACAGTGTCAGCTGGTGCACTGGTGCGGACAGGCTCCTAGAACTCTCATCTAGCGGGGGAAGCCTGTCCTGCAAGGGACCCACCCTCCAGAAGATAACTCTGGGTTTTCTTTGGGGGGGTCCCTCCTCATAGTTACTGAGTACCAGCTGCATCTTGAGTCTCATTCCAGGGCCTAGGGACACAAAAATGACCAAGACTTCGTCTTAGTGCCATTTGGTAAGGCAGACAGAACCCACATTAACAGCAGATCGGGAAGAGATATCTGTTCCCACACTGCAGGGCACAGAAGGGGGAACAAGCAGTCAGCCCTGCAGGAGCCCAGGGATGGTGTCCCACAGGAGTTGATCCCTGAACCTGGCTCGGAGGGCTGAGCTGCCCTCTCCCAAGTACAATGTTGAGAAGGGTATTCCAGGAGGAAAGAACAGCATGGCTAGACCAAGAGGTGGGGTATAGAAGGGTCCATGGGGCCAGTGCAGAGACTTGGACATGGAGAAGCAACAGGGGCCAGGAAGAGAAAGGCCCAGAGGGCTAGCCTAAGGAACTTGGACTTGATCGTACAGGTGGTAGAGACTATGAGGTTTCCCTGCTCATTTTACTGTGCAGGGGTCTGAAGGGAGTCACACAAAGTTGCCTGGTGACAGAGCACAGTCTGAAGCCAGCTCTCCCTCAGAGTGGCCCCTGTGTACCCAGGGTTCAGAGGTCTCAAGGAGGGTGGGTGTTTAGGGACAAGCGGAGCTGGCCCTTCCGTATGCCTGAAGCTTCAGTTGCAGGGTGAGCTGGCTCTCAGCAGGTCTCCAGGCCTGCCATGAGACTGGTTTGTGGCCAAGGGCCAGAGGCCAGGTGCATTCCTGTGTTTGGGAGAAAGGAACCTAAAACCCTTGAGCCTCTTATTGTTCTCCACTCCCAGGTATGCTCCCTCTTCTGTTAACTCTCAGGGCTCCAGGTACACAGAAAGGTTACCTGCCACTACAGCTGAGATACAGCAGAGTCCACATCCCCAGATGGAGGGATGGGGCCCAGGTGTCCTGCTCTCCAGATCCCGCCTGCGGCAGACTCTTTACCTTCCTGCTGTCTGAGCAAGGGGCAGGTGGAGAGAAGCAGGCCGATCTTAGCTCTGACTTGTTGAGGGCTCTGCCAGGGAAGGAAAGCCCTCTGCCATCTTGACCATGGGTGATGGGACAGCAGTGAGCCATGTGTCCCTTCCTGTCCTGTAAGAGAAGAAAGCCAGCCTGAACCACAGGTGTCAAATTCTGCTAATCTTGTTTCCCTTCTCCTTACCTGAGATGCAAGAGGGGAGGAGAGGAGGAAGTAGAACCTCTCCTGGGGCCTAGGTGAGAGGGCAGGAGTCCCAGTAACACACGCCCATCATTCTTCCTCCTGGGAGGACCACCGGAAAGGACAGAGGAGCGCTGAGTGTGTGTATGAGAGTGGCGGCCTGGGGAGCCTGCGGAAGAACCCACATCTCTGTATGTGGGTCCAACGTGGGAGCAGGTGGATAAGTTTGTAGGAACAGGTGACACAGACCAGAGACCTGCCTATTGGAAATTTCTCTAGTGGAAAAGGACTTTCTGCAGGCTGTTTGGCCTGGGGTCACTGATGGCTGTGCCCTTTGAGCCCCTCTGGTCCCGAAAGGAGAGAAGACTTGCTTGAGGCTGCACAGGTAGTGGAGGCATATCCCCCACACCAGCAGCACCCCATTCTCCCCAGAGACTTTTTTGCATGGTGACAACTGCCCTGCCCTGCCCTGGCCTGCACTGTCCTCCACCCACTGTTCTCCAGCCAATATGACTCAGTCCCTCTTGGTGTCCCACAGGTCATCTGGAATGTTTGGGCTGAACTTGTCTGTTTGGAGTCTAGCCTCGAACCCTCACGCTGCAGTGTCAGTCCCAATGGGCAGGGTGTGGGCCTGCCTCCTTGCAGGAACTGGGTTTCTCCCTTTGCAAGGACTCCAGGGCTTCCTGTTGGCTTCTGCGCCTGGGAAAGGTTCAGATTTCCTAAGAACCAAGGCCTGGCTGGGAGTCAGTTTGCAGGAAGGGCGGGTGAGATAAAGGGAGAAGGGCCTGGAGCTCAGGTTTCTGCCGGCACTGAGGATTGCAGTGGCACTACGGAACAGTTCCAGCTCTCCAGCCTTTGGGAGCCTGCTCTATCCCCCCTTCACCAGTCCTAAGGCAAAGTCCTGAGCTAGGTCAGAGCGCTGAGATCTGGCTTCATTCTCCCCAGCAGCCTGAGGCGTGGAGGAAAGATTCAGACTTCTTCGACTTGGTCCTGCCTATCCTGTCTGTCTGGCCTGTCCGGCCATATGATCTCGGGCAGGGTTCTTTCTCCAACTGTACCCCTTTCTCGGCTGGGGGCGTTCAATGGCTGTAGACAGTGGCTGGATGTCACCAGATATCTGACTTCTGACACTCAGCAGGCTATCATTACTCCATGACTGAACAGGAGTTCCGTGGGATCAGAGTCTTAATCCCTGTGCCCAGAACATTTCTGGTTCTCCCTGTCCTGGCACGTGACAGTCAGTCGATAAATATTTGTCTGGTAAATGTAATGACTCATTTAATCATTGCAACAATCCTGCAAAGTAGGAGTTGCCATCAGCACCATACTTACACAGCAACACTGAGGCACAGAGGAGCAAAGTCAATGATCAAAGGTCATGTGGTTACGTGAGGATTAAACCCAGGTGGCAACACACCAAAGCTCTGGCTCCTGCCCACTGTGGCCGGCCGCTGGGGGAGGGCAGGGTCTGTTCCACTGCAGCGCATTAGCTGGGAACACAGTGTGTGGGCCTGAGGCAGGACAGTAAGAAGCTAGGAAAATTCCTCGACAAGTGGAGTGGGGAAACTGAGACAAGATAATTAACCAAAGCCCCCAAATCTGAATGACTCACAGACAGCTGTTGCAGCAGTTTTCAACCAGAGCGCCATATGACACCGGTGTCCCTCAAGAATTTTTAAACACACAACACCTGACTATTTATTCAGGGGCCCTGACTCCTTTTCCTTTGGATTGTTAAATTAAAACAGTGACAACAGCCAATAAAACAATAGCTGTCTGGTGTGAATGAATAAAAACTTGTATCTATTTTTTTGTCAGATCAGTAAAATATATATTTTCTTAGTGTGCTGCAGGACCTTAGCGTTATTTACGTGTGCCATGAGATGAAAAAGGTTGAAACCACTGAGCTAGTGAATCGCAAGCCCTTGTCTTCCCTAACCAAGGACACTTGAGAGCAAATAGTTTATACCTCCCCTTCCTAACCACAGCATAAACAGCTCAATCGCCCCGGCCAGAGAGACAGATAACAGACACCCATTGGTGCCAGCCAAACCCAAGGACGAGTAAAGTCTGGGAAAACAAAAAGACTGATTAGAGTCAGACAAACCTAAAATCAAAGTAAAGCAGCGAAGCTGAGCAGAGAATGGTCCCAAAACTCCCCTACACACTCATTTTAATTCATCAGCATATTAAAGAATGCACCTGGAAAGTGGACAAATATTCTGCTGAAACCCTCCCCTAAGACTGTTAGGTCAGAGTCGCTCAAGAAACCAGAGGGGCGCAGCGAGCTGAGGAGCAGGGTTTATTAGCGGGGAATAAGAGGGAAAAGTGGAGCCAGCCTAGGGAGGTTGGGACTCATTTGGTTGTTCTTAGGGCAGGGTTTTTAAGTGCAAACGCCCTCAAAGGGTAACTGGTTGGGGCGTCAGAGTCTGATCGGCTAGAGCTGGTTGCTGGGTGCCATTTCTGCTGACCATTGTTCTTGATACATCTTGTCAAGCTCAAGTTAAAGCTGCATCCTGTTATGCTGGATAGGCCAACCCCAGACCCCGATCTTAGCCGGGCATCTGTCTGTCCTGGGTAGGGTCGGCAGGCAGTTTCCCAGGCTACAGTTTCCAACGGTACAGTTTCCCACCTGGTGATTTTCCATTTCTCCTAGGTCTACCTAGGTCTGTCAAAGACCTCCCCTAAGATTCCCTGCTCCGCTGCAGAAAAGAGATAAAAATCCTCAAAACAAAGGATGCCAGCCCTGTTTCTCTCTGGAGCACACTCACACCTTTCTTCCCTCTAGGCATGCATCTCCTAGGCTCTAAGGGTCCCCACTAGACTTGCAACCAGGGGAGCAGTGGGCAGCAGCTCGGCCCCAGGCTAACCCCCCTGAGCCTGTCTCCAAAGCCCCTTTTCTCTGACTCTCCAGAGAGTTGACAACAGCCCAGCATGGCTTACTCCTTTCCCACAACATGTCTAGGGAGCCAAAGCAGAGCACTGTCTAGGGCACAGATGGCAAACACAAGGCCCACAGGCCAAATCCGGCCCTCCACCTTGTCTTATCCAGCCCGGCACCTTGTTTCCACCCATCGGCAGTGCCAAGCTCTTACTTAACTGTTAAGGAGTAGTTACATGTGTACAGTCCTAAAATTACATTCGGCCAGCCCATTGAAGGCAACTGTGAGGCTGATGCAGCCCCCGGGTGAAAATGAGTTTGACGCCTCTGGTCTCTAAGCTCTCTGCTGCTGTGTCTTCTGTCCTAGGCCCTTCCTTTGTTTCACTGTCCCCACTTTAATAAACTCACTCTCACAATCACCTGGACTCATGCTGTGAAGTCTTTCCTGCATGAAGTCAAGAACCCACACACCGTAGGCTGGCCTGAGGCCCACTCCCTCCGGGCCCGGTCTCGGTCTGGTGACAGGCCCACACACAGGCTCGGCATGGCTGCTGCCCAGGCTTCCAAGCTCCTGTTAGGAGTCCCTGGCCCCTCCTGGCCTCTCTCCTCTGCAGCGAGAGCACAGCAGTGCTTTTCCCTAGAGTGGACAGTAGGCATGACCAGATGGGGACACAGACAGACAAAGAAAAAGTACCTGAGGAAAGGGCCACAGGCTCCTCAGGTAGCTGTGGGAGGCAAAGGGACAGATTCCAGCATAGGACAGGGAGAAGTGGAAAAATGAGCCAGGGTGTTGGGTGGTCAAATCTCCCCAGCAGACAAACCTTGGTGCTGAAAGTGGGTCTTCTGCTGTGAGGAGTGAGGGTGGGATGGGGCGGAGGGGGCTGGTCAGGGAGGGCTGAGCACTGGAGAGGAAGAGAGCCCTGGCAGGGAAGTCAGGAGCCTGCTTCCCTGTGTGGCCCAGGCCTCCCACGCCCAGTTCACTCAGCTGCATGAGGGAGATCACGCTGCCACACTCAGCAGGCTTCTCTGGGAACTTCACGGGCTTGCGTCACGGCAGAGCGGGGCCCGTCTGAAGATGAACAGCCTGCCTTGGGAGGTGGGGGACGCTGTCACTGAGGTGATCTGAGGAAGGGTACCATGGAGGGCTGGACCTCATGTGCTGGGGCATCCAGAAGGCCATTGACTCTCTGAGAATTCAGGCAGAATTTGGGCTGATCACAGTCTACCTGGTCCTCATTCATGTAACAGACATTTGTCCTAAATACTAGGTCTCTTTCCTATTGTCTAGGCCACTCCAGTGCCAGCCTGTCCCCTCTCTTCCCTCTCCACCCGGGCCTGAGTCTCACCCTTTGCAGGTAGCACCTCCCCAAAGGCCCTGGGGAGGTAGACAGGAGATGGGGACCACGGTGTCAACAGGCCTTAGCTTTCGGGTCTGGATCGCTGCTCCAGAGCAAGCATGGTTGCAAAATGCTGCTCTTTCTTGGTCCCTGGCCTGTCATTCAGGGCATTCCTGGTAGTTGCTGGGTCTCTGAGAATGTTCCTGCCAATGGCTGGAGCGTAGACCCCACCCTGGACCAACAGGTGCAGTGAGGATCCATGTACACCGGAAGGGTGCACACTCAAAAACAGTGTCGTAACTCGATCTGCCACCTTTACCCCAGCTGGCCGGTGTGTGTGTGGGCGTGTGTGTGCGTGAGCATGACCATCCTTCTCTTGCAAGGAGGAAGCTGGATAACCAGAAATGAGACACATCAGTTAAAATTCCATCTCTTTTTGCCTCATCGGGCCCCACCTGTTCTGGTCAGTGGTCCTTAGAGCAGAACCAGATCTGGTCTCCCCTGTCCAACCTGCCTGCACCTCATCCCCCATTTCTGTCCCCCTTCTGTCATGGTCAACTGAGTGGCTGGAACAAAAAGACACAAGCCACAGCTCTTCCCAGCTCACGCCCCATCAGCGCCCACACTCCATACACGCGCACTGCTCTCTATTCACCAGTTTGTTCACAGGTTTTTATGAAGCGTCTGTTATGCGCCATGCGCTGT